AAACTTCAGCTGGTCTTTGAGTCCCTGATGCGGGAGCCGTGGGGCAGAGAGGGGCTGAGCAGGGAGCAGTTCTCGGTCCTCAGTGCCCTGGCCGGCCGGCGCCGCGGGGAGACCCTGGTGCCGGGAAGGAGGTGAGCAGCCCTGGTGGTCCTCGGGCAGCCCTAGGCTCAGCGGTGCCCCTAGTGGGCTTGAGGAGCTGGCTGGGCACGGAGATGCTTGGTCTCCGCAGAGGCATCAGCCCTGGGCTCCCAGGAGCGGCTGTGTGAGTGGGTGCTGGCTGGAGGGTGGGGGATGCTCTGGCCAGGGTGACCCCCAGCTTGCTATGTAGGTCATCTGTGGTGGATGAGTCAGGCCAGTCCCTCCTGTCCCACTCAGACATCAGCTACGACCGCACTGATGATGATGTGGTAAGGAGCAACCGCTTGTGAGTCCAAGGGTTTGGCTTCTCCCCAGCGGGGCAGCCCCATGGCTGTAGTTAGGGGCCAGCTGGCCTGTGCAGCTGCCAGAGCATGAATGGTGGGGGTGCTGCTGGTCCTGTGCAGCCCTGCCCAGCCCCCAGCCTCCCCACTGTCTTTCAGGACGTTGATATGACAGTGGTACGGACCCTGAAGCGCAAAGCCCAGGAGAGGCAGGTACGAGGGAAATGCTGGGATGCAGCAGCCTGTGGGGGCTAGTGCTGGGGTCTGTGCCTCCACATGGGTGAGGGTTGCTTGGGCCTGCTGTCCTGCACTATGGCTGTGGGATCCTCTGCCCACACAGGTAGCAATGTGCAGCCTAGCTGGGGTGCCTGACATGGGCCACCTAGGGTTAGGGCATCCCGGTACTTTTCTATCCCAGCGTGGGAAGCTGCAACGAGCCTGGCAGGGGGTTTAATTTATTGATGCTGGGCTGGGAGTGTCATCTCTCAGCAAGCCTCTTGCGATCAATAGAAACTGCATTACCCTCCACTGGGGCCCAGCCAGGCTTCTCAATAATTCATCCCCACATGTGGGCATCCAGCGCTTTGCTCCAGTCACACCTCTGCATTGCAGGCCTGGTCTGGCCTCCCCACTCCCAGTGCTGGCTGTCATACAGGTGGGGGGGCCTGGGTCCCCATGGTGCCTGGAGTAGGGCAAGGAATATTTGGGGCACAGGGTGAGAGCAGGACTTTTAGTGGGGCTGAGACCACTTGGCCTGGGTGCTCTGGGGTGGTGGATTCAGGGAAGGGATCTCTGCGTGTCCTTCACCCCATCTGCTCTGTCCCCAGCGTGTGTCCCTGGCCCCTCAGATTGGCCCTTTGGTGGTGGCAAAGCGTCGCCGGTCTTCTGTGGCACCCCACAATGCTGTGAGTAGGGACCCAAGTGTGCCCTGGGCAGGGTTGGGGTGCGTGGGCTGTCCCAGTGCTAGAATGCAGCATAGCAGCCTTCAGTCCTGCAAGCCCATGGGTGCTGTGGGGCCTGGGGGTGCTCAGCTGTCCCTGCTGGATGCCTTTGCCTTGCAGCCTGTATTCTCCTGTGCCCATGGTGACAGCATTCTGGGCTGTGCAGGGCTGAGGAGCTGGTGGAGCAGAGCTCATGAAGAGATGTTGGAGCACCATGGGGCTGCAGCCAGGCATGTTCTTATTGCCCCCTATCTCAGCAGGCGAGTGTCCCCCATGCGCCCCTTCCTGCCGAGGTGCCAGGCCCTGCTGGCAGCCTCCTGCCTGCCACTCTGGTGCTACAACGTTGGCAGGGACACGACATCTCTACACGTGCAGGTCACAGGAAGGGCTGGGGAGATGGGGTTCAAGGGTTGTGTGGGACCGGCCTTGGGGTGCTGTTGTCGTGTGGAGGGAGGGGATCTGCAGAGGGGTGCTTGCCCTCACTGTGGGGTTAGCGGGGTCCTCTGGATGTACCAAATCCCAGGGCAGCTGGGGTGCTGCAGGGGCTCCCTGAGAGGTGGGAGCCTCCCAGGGAGCAGGGACAGTTTGCCTTTTGGGGATCCGTCCACTGCCTCCTCTCTCTGCAGAGCTGACCACAGCACAGGGCAGCCGTGATGATCTGGGCTGCCATGCCCTGGGGCAGGAGAGCAACACCAAGAGCAGCTCCTCTGCCAGGCAGCCAGAACCAACCCACTTCCCCTCACCTCCACGGGGCCTCCCAGTGCTCCAGCACCAGTTCATCTCCAAAATGGTGCGTGCTTCAGCCTCCTTCCCTCCTCTTGGCCACTGTGGAGAAGGGAGCAGGGCAGGAAGACTGGATATGGGGGGCAAAGCTCTTCTCCATCCCCCTACCTCAGCTGTGTCTGCACAGGGGTATGGATGATGCAGTAGAGGCTTGTTTGGTAGAAAGGAGCAGTACCGGGTACTTGTAAGAAAGGGGGGTTCTGACTTTGCTCTCCCTTGCTAGGTGATCCGCCCTGAGCCGTGTGGCATCTGTGGTGCCCGCATCCGTTTTGGGAAGGCTGCCATCAAGTGCCGCCGCTGCCAGCTGCTGCTGCACCCCAAGTGCCGGGAGCAGTGCCCCAGCTCCTGCAAGCCCTGTCCTCGCCACCACGCCTGGCCCCTTGAGGTGAGAGGGGGCACGGCAGCGCTTGGGGGCCACTCTGTGTCCCTGTGGGGCTGCCGAGCTACCAACATTGCAATGCTGGGCCTCTGGCTGTCCTGCCCGCAGGGCTGGGCAGTGGGGACAGAGCGGGCGGGTCGGTGTTGTTCTTCCAGGGCGTAGTGGCTGACTTTGCCCCCTCCACACCACCCTTGGTACCTGTGCTGGTGGTGCAGTGTGTGACTGAGGTGGAGAAGCGAGGCTTGACAGAGGTAGGGGCTGGGGCAGTGGGGTTGATGATGCCACGGTCCCCACGGGGCTGAGACACTCTCTCTGCGCCTCAGACAGGGCTGTACCGGGTGCGGGGTACTGAGCAGCTGGTGCAGGAGTGGAAGCGGAGGCTGCTGCAGGCTGGGGACACACTGCCTGCCCTCAGCAGCGTGACTGACATCCATGTGGTGTGTGGAGTGCTCAAGGACTTTCTGCGGGGGCTCAAGGAGCCGCTGGTCACCTTCAGCCTCCACCCTGCCTTCCTGCAAGCTGCTGGTGAGCAGGGGTTCTGAGCTGGGGATGGGAAAGTGGCTGGCCACCTCTGTCCTGTGCTGCTGCAGACATCCCGGATGATGCTGCCTGTGGCAGAGCCCTGTGCCATGTGGTGAACAAGCTGCCCCCGGCCAACAGGGACACCCTGGCCTTCCTCATGCTACACCTGCTCAGGTGAGGGGCTCATCCCCGCATGGGCTACCGTGGGTCTGTCCCCATGTCCCAGCTCTCTGCCCATGTTCCATGCCGCAGGATGGTGAAGCCCGGCTGAGGATGAGGGGGCCCCTTGCGCAGACCGTGTGCTCACATCATCTCACCTTGCAGGGTGTCACGCAGCCCTGCCTGCAAGATGGATGTGCTCAACCTGTCCCGTGTGTTTGGCCCCACGCTGGTGGGACACAGCTCGTCCAACCCCACACCACACACCATTCTGGAGGACACGCCACGACAGTGCAAGGTGAGGGAGGTCCCTGAGGACCCTAACAGGCTGTGCCTTGGGCACTGCCACCATCCCCAACCTCCATCCCACCCTGCCTAGGTGGTGGCTCGGCTCCTCTCGCTGCCACCCAGTTTCTGGAGAGGCTTTGTGGGGACAGAGCAGGAGAACTCAGTACCAATGCCAGCTCCAGGCAGTGAATGTGGTGAGGCAGGAGGAGTCCTGGCCCCTTTTGTGCCATTGCTCTGTGGCTGATAAAGAGTCCTGGGTGCTTGTGGCTGGGCTGGAGTGCTGTACCTGTCCCCTCCTCTGTCCCACAGAGCCGTTCTTCCCCCCCATCACCTCTGTGGAGCCCAAAGTATGCCAGTTCCGCCCAGCCTGCTGCCTCCCCAGCAGCCCGCAGAGCCGCGAGGGCACGGCTGCCCAGCCCCCGTGAGTGCTGCTGGGGGGTTTGGGGCGGGGGGGAGCAAGGGAGCTTGCTTTGCACCCCTGACTCATCTCTCCCCACACAGGCAGGGGGTCGG